ACTGGTCACAACTTCTCTGCATCCAATACAGATGGAGAAATGCTGCGCTGAAGCGTCCAGCCTCTGCCTGCCACTCCCCGCCACCCCCAGGGGATGCAGCTGGCAAGTGATGTTTTATCTCCCTGCACTTTGCTCCTTCCCTGAGCTGTACGTGGATGCGGGGATGCGGGGACACGCATGCTTTGCAGCCAGTGCTGCACTGCTCCGGGGTGTCTGGGCAGAGCCCCTCAGCTGCCTGCCCTGCTGCCTGTCCTGGAGACGTCACCCCACGACAGCCCCTCTTGCCTGGGCAGGGGAAAAATAGGATGTTCTGCATCTTCTTCATCATTTTTTTATCCTAATTTAGTTTCTATAACTCCCAGGCTTATGCCAGACAAGATGCTACAGCACAGGGGGGGTGGAAGGTATTTAGGCACAGAGTTTGTGGATGGGAGTGTTCAACTGAAGTTGTTGCAAGATCAGGACTACATTAAAACCTTGTTTTGCTGAGAAATGCACAAGAAGATGACACATGTCCCAGCTGCATCAAGTGTCACCAAGCCAGCCAGTGCAGTGCAGCTCCCAGCATCTGAAAGAGCATCCACTGCCAACAAAAACAACAGGCGGGGGAAACCGAGGCAGGTGGCTTGAGGCAACGCGCTCCATGCAACTGGGCTCCCAGCTTCCCTGGCCCCATCCTGGGGTCTGTGTGATCTGACAGGATGAAAATTTGCAGGAGCAGCCTGTATGGAGAGGAGGAAAAAGAGCCAGCTTGCTCATCTGAGCCATGATGAGCAATACACGCTGGATGTATTTACCCGCATCGCCATGACATCAATATCTAAGTATACAGAGAAGATAAGCTGCCCAGGGAGCCGTTAAAAATACCAGAGGTCACCACGTTTGAGATCGATCGCAGCAGCCTCCCAACCACCCGAGTGAACTGCTCGGTTAGTTTTTGTAATGTGGTCTCAGGGTGAGTGAGGCTTTGCTGCGAAAAAGAGCCAGAGTGGATAAAAGCCTTCCTGGGTGAGCCTTGCCTGGGGTAGGGGGTGAGAGAAGGAAGGTCACTGTTTCCCCAGAGAGATGATGATCTGGGGCAGGGTCAGTTTTGGGGAGCAGGTTGGGTTACACAGGCGCTCGGGGCACCCTGCCAGCCCCAGAGTGCTCAGACCTGGCAGCCTCCTCGGTGCTGGCCCAGCTCCTGACACGGCTTTGCAGCTCCAGCTCAGGTGGTTTCCAGCGAAACCCTGGTGTTTTTGCAAAACAACCTCTTTGCTTTGAAGATGTTTTTATGTGCTGGGTCAGTCCTTGGTTGCCACCCTTGGGGCTTCCCTCCTCTTCTTCCTTCCTCCTTTTGCCCTCCAAGACAGCCTGGAGACAGAACTCTCCTTTAAGATGAGCCCCGCTATTTTCCAGGGTGAAAAAACAAGAAAGGGAAAGGGAGAGGGAAACAAGTTTTTCAGAACTTCTGTTTTTTTATTGAAAAAAAAACAACCCACAGGGACATCAGGACTCCAAAATTCCTACAAGAATAAAGGATGTGTGGAAGGAAATTTCCCAATGTTCTATGCAGTGATTTCTCTCCCAGGCAATCACTTTAAATTCCCCAGGGGCAGAAGATCCGTGTCAGAAAGACAGTATACAAGGTAGTCAGGGCTCCTGGGCCAAGCTGTCCTGTCACCAGGGCTTTTTGGGTTTTCCTCCCTCCTATGACGTGGTGGGATGCTGTGCTGATACCCCAGGCCTGCCCCTCAGGGAGCAGAGGTACCACCTGGGAGATGTGGGTGGTCAGTGGAAAGAGCAGGCGCTGGCACATCTGGACACAGAGTAGGATGAAATTGGGATTCCTGGGATAGATCCCACCAGGGTAAGGGGGTCTTTGAAGCTGTAAACTCCTGTCCTTCAAGGCATATGTCATGTGGAAGCATTAAACATCCACAGGCCAAGCTGGCAGCCTGAGTGCTACCCGGCGGTGATGAGAAGGAGCCTTGCAAAGGGGTGCACATTGGTGATCCAGCCTTTTCCTTGCTCTGTCCATGGGGTTATGGCATCACAGAATCCCTGCTCCATGAATATTTAACCAGTCCTTGCAAAGCCGCTCTGCTCCAGTGAAAACTTAATTAACCCATGCAGAGCGCAACTGCCTCCAAGCAAGGATGGGTCCAAATGTTCCCAGAAGGCCCCAAAGGTCAGATGCCCCAGGGATGCAGGTGCAGCTGTATTTTATTTGGGCTGGCTTATCATATGCTGACCTGGCCCCATCAGTCCCCCAGACCTTCCTCCAAAAAGAGCGGGGATTCCTCACCCCAAGGATCTAAGAAACCCTTAGTATGCACAGATTAAACATTGACATACCCAGCACCATGGCATGCAGAAAATGAGCTGGGACTTTAGACCTTCTTAAATGGGAGCTAAGCAAGGGTTTCAAGTAATGAAATGCATGTCAGCCAGCTCAAAGGGCAGCTACGCGCCTAAAGGCCATTGTACACCTACCCTCAGAGCCTCCTCCAGGCCAAATCTAACCCCAGAAACCCCCCTGATCTCTTGGCACATGTGACACAAGTTTGTCAGGCCTCAGTCCAAGTCCCAGCTATGAGAGACCTGAATCCTCAGACTTTTGCCTTTCCAATGTGTTTACCTGCAGAGCATCACTCATCAAACAACCCACAGGAAACAATTCTGTCTTTAAATAAAGGGATAGTTTTAATAAAGTTTAAATAAAGGGATAATTTTCTATATTAGGATTCCTTTTGTAACAGGTTAGCAAACACTGAGGAGTCGCTGTCAGGTGCTTGTAGGGAGAGTATATGTCATGTTCTAACAGAAAGCGCCATAGGTAGCTATAAGTCATGGTCATAAACAAACTATTGCCCTGTCAAACTCTGCAAGAACTGATTAATCATTTACTGAGCACTTTTAAACCGTTTCAAATGGGACCTTTTTAACAGAAAATACACCCAAAGAAGAAAGCAGTTCCCGTCAGCTTGCATTTCCCAGAGCAGCCTGGCACATGTAGGCATCATATGGGGGTTTTACTGCTAAAAGGGGCCCAGGGGACGTTCGCTCACCATTTTTGCTGTGTGCATAGATGACGTGAGAAAAGAGGTATCTGCTATCGCTTGCAGCCAAGGAGGGGGAGCAAGGGAGAGCCAAGGTTATCATATGAGCTGCCACAGATTAGCTACAAAGACAACAAGGCTTAATGCAAGGGGGAGTGGCTGGGAGATGGATGCAGAGGGTGAGGTGACATTGCTAAAGACGATCTGCAGTCCCTGTGGTGCAGGTAAGGGCACCAATGTCCCTGGACGTGGCCGGAGTCCCTCCCATGGAGCAGGGCACGATCCTGCTCCTCCTGAGAGCTGGAAAAAACTCAAAAGCTCACTTGTGATTTGAAGCAGGGAGGATATTAGCCACAGCCCTGTGTACACCCCCTCACCCCGGCTCTGGGCTTTGAGCAATTCCTAATTGCTCCAGCAAGAGCAACAGCAATGGCTGGCCTCACCACCTCGACCCTTGGCCCATGGGGATCTCGCCCAGATCCTTGGGCTGAAACAGCAGTTTAGTTCATATTAACCCCGTATCAGCAGCAGACTCCAACCTGCTGGGAGGCTTGTGGCTGTATCCTGCAGGGATGCAACAGCAACATGGAGAGACCTGCATGGGCTCACACTCACCAGACTGCTCTGAGCAGGCTAATTTTTGCAGCCATGCTGATTTGGGGGTCTCTGCACCACTCTCCATAGCTCCTGATGCCTGCAGGGGTTTTAGCTCACCTCAAACATGACATGGCTGCACAGACTCTGCTGGCTCGTGCCTGTACAAAGTGCTGTAAAGCTGGTAACCCCGTGCAAGCCTGTCAGTGCTATAAGCCCGCTGGAGCCCAGCAAATCCAGATCCAGACCAGCAATATTACCTGGGGGCTTTCCTTATCCAGAAGATACCAGTCCCTCACTACTGAAAATAAAGTGGAGTTTACTGCACAGGTCTTTCAGGCCTAATTGCTGCAGCAGCAAGCAGAGGAAAGTTCTGCTCCTGTCCTCTTACAGGAACAAACTCCTCCTTCAAGCTGGGAGAAAAAACCCCTGCAAAATCAACTTTTTCCCCATTTCAGGGTTCACTCTGTCTCCTGAGCCTGCACACAGTAACCCTGTGCTGCTCCAAGCTGCAAGTAGTGGCCACAGCATCCCGCTGCATGCTGAGCCGCTCTGCCCGCATCCTTGGGAAGGAGCTCCATCTGCTGAGCCAGCGGCCCAGGCTGAAGCCCTGGGAGAGCTTCCAGACTTGTCCCAGGGCTGTGGTTTCATCAAGCATCCCCTGGGCAGCACCAAGCCTGCCAGACCCTGTTGCATCAGGGTCAGTGCTTGTGAGGAGCTCCAGGGAGTTTTTGAGGTGCCTTCCCCTGAGGAAGAAGCAAACTGAGCAGAGAGCAGTAAGCAAAGTGCAGACAAGGAGAAAAAGGTCGTCATGTGCCACAGCTCCAATCATGTGAGCAGGCTGGGGGACAGTGGAAAAATAGGAAAAGAGGGTGAAGAAAGCGTGCCCTCATCTCAGGCTGCCCTGAATGAAGTCAGTGAGCTGGGCTCATGTCAGTGAAGGAGTAAGACAGGAAAGGACCTGGGTTTGAGATGGGCT